CCCCTAGGAAGGAAATAATGGCAAACTATTCACCAAAAAATGTAGCCAATAAAAGTGCACGAACCATCTATGTCAGGGGTGTCAAACTGGTGGCCCCAGGCCGGATACATCACACATAGGCCACACCTACCCCAGCTTCACAAAGGGGAGAAATGTCGCGATACATCATGTGACAGCAACATGACACAGCAAGTTTGACACCCATGATCTACATAGTTGTCATGAAGCAAAACCAACTCAAAGGCACTCCAAAAAAAGTATAGTGATTGTCTACTCCTGAAATAGACTGCATTACCTCAATATTACATATATCTGCATAGAAAATAATATTTTTTTTATTCAGGGAAACCTTTTTCCGCTTGGTAGAACAAATGACCCAGCATGGGAACACAAAATGGATTGTTTTGTGGAGACTCAAATTTCTAAATAGATGCCATCAGCCTGGCAAAAGCAAAAGACACCCCAAGTTACTGTACTCTATGGGGGGTATGGCCTGAGTTTTGGAGAGAGACTATGGATTCCCATGAATACAAGGTTTAGTGCATCTATTTGGTCCCTTAAACCCAAACACCGGTGCCACAAAATTGTTCTACCTTGGCCAGATGATGTTTGCATTTAGAGGATTTCAATTTCAAATTCCAGACCCCATGAAACATATGTATATTTAGTGCTGTATGAGTGTTCTTTTATTCACATCCATTCTCAGTAATTAAAACTGATTTTTAAACCAGCCACTGCCCTCTGCATTGCTCAGATTTTAAGGATAATGCATGATGTTGATCTTTCTGCTCCATTGCCCAGTTTATGATCAGGGCAGAATAAAACAATCCTTAAACAGATTAAACCTGAGCTGCAAAAATCTGGACAACCACTAGATGGCAGCAAAGACATAAAGAAACCTCTTGCGACTCTCTCTCTCCAATTACTATTTATTGGGATTTTTGAGCCAGATGAAGTAGCTCTAACATATTAAGAGTGCTGTGTTTCTGAACTATATTTTCCCAACTTGATGGTGGAAGTTGGATTCAGGTTACAGTATAATGTGAATTGCTTGATGAATATTAAATATGCTGAATCCCCTGAAATATATATATCAAGGCTAAAGGTCACATACATAAGTACAAAGAAAGCTGAATAAAAGAATAAAGTTTCCTTGTTTGGGAATGATAAAAGAAATTAATTTTCCATACGATATACCTGTTCACAAAAAAGATGGTGTACTAATAAAACTGGACTGAATTAAATTTGGAAAACATGCACAGGGAATTTCATTATTAAATTCTACAATGTAATAACCCATCTGACCTGCAACTTATTCCAAAAGCCTGCAATCCCCAGTCTGCTTTTCAATCACATTGTCCTCACTTACTACAAATTGCAGGGACTTTCCTCTTGCTTTCAGTTCTCCACATGCAAGCCTGCTCCTTGCAGGCCACATCATCATCATCCATTTACTCATCCTAAATTAGCTGCCAGCCAAATAATCTGAAAATGTCCGCCAGAGAATACTCATTCTCTCTGCATCAAGCATAAGTGTATCCTGTCTCCATCAGATTCTAGCAATCCTGGAAGGGAGTGTAGGAAGTTAGCACCCACCCCTCTCCTAGAAAATTGAAATATCCTAGGAAATATTAAAAAGGCAGAATATTTCCCCTAAAAAGAGTAAAAAGTCAGAAGCAGAAACTCACCTCAGAAGCAGAAGCTCACCCCCACCTTTGTTAATGGGTGGGTCATTAAGGCCTGGGCCAGAATACTTTACATAACAAAGATCTCCAGGTAAAGCTATAGCAATTGCCAGAAGCCCTTTCAGTTCATCATCCAGCAAGGCTCAACCAAGTCTGGAACTCAGGACAGCCTACAGAGTTGCCCCTGCATGGCCTCACGGGAGTCTGACAACCAATCAGAATACAAGCCCCAATTCAAATCCCAACAAAGGTTATAAAACTCAGGCACTCTCAGCACCTCAGTCTCTTTTTCTTGACTTCTTTCCTCACCTTAAACCATGTGATCATCCTTCCTTTTCACTCCAGGCTATGCGTCCTGTCCACCATTAAATCTTCCAAACAGCCTCCATGTTTCCAGTGTCTTTTTCCCCACTTGGAACTGAACCCAGAAGGATAATTCTTCCAACAGGAGGGGGAAAAAAATCAACAGTAATTAATGGGATTCGTTCTCTGCACACATATAAATCCATGCATTTACATCCATGTGTTTTTGTGGATTTCCATGATGGTTTGCAAAGCATTAATAAAATAATTAGTCTTATGGGAAAGTACAGATTCCTCCCTAATGATGGCACTGTGGCAGGCCATCCAAGGAACATGCAGCCTATCTACCAAAGGTACTGAAGATCATAGATGCTCATAGAAATAAGAATTTAACCTTAATGACCAAGAGAGGTTATTTTAAAAAAATGCTTATTGCCAAAGAGAACTTAAATATTTCAGGATGTACAGCATGTTCCGACACTTTTGTAGCCAGAGATGTGTGTTCCATTGAAAAGTGTCAATTGATATTAGTTGCAAAAGCAGAATCTTCTGCCTAAGTGATAGACTTTATTAACCATTCATAACCAGCCACCGTTCCGAGATGATCCTACAATGTCTTATGAAGAAGTACAGCTTGTACAAATACATGCCTTCTACGTGACACCACACAAGCATGAGCTGAACTAGACAGAGGCTTTTCCAGCACCTTTCTGCAAATAATAAAAAGCCTGCTTTGTTTCTCATCATCTTCTGCAGCATTGGAATGGATTCAAATATGATCTAACATGTAAGAAGGCCAAAACTGAATCAGTTGCAAATTGAAATCTAAACTGCAAGGCAATAAAAAAAGACCCAGAATCATTCAAGTATTAGATAACCAAGTGAGATCAAAATTCTAACTCTTGTAAACAGACAGCAAATGAAAACCATAATGGCATACTTATTTTAATAAATAATCCTAATTCATGATTCTAGCATTATATTTTCAAAAGCATTGTACTGTCTCTATATAACTAGCATATTAATACTTTTGGAATTGAAGTACTTGTGCAGATTTCTATCCCTAAGGATGCTGGCTTGATTTCATGGGATCTTGAAATTTCTAGGTATACTGTGATATCCAATTTTTGGTAGTGTTCTCCACAGTAACTGGAGTAGTGGATAGTATCTACAATCTTGTTTCTACTAAATTAACATATTGAATAGCTTCACAGTTACATGTTGTTTATTAGGATTATAAACAAAGTGCATGGCAATCACATTATTTAATCCTGTGCATGTTCTTTTTTTAACTGGAAGCAGTACAGTATTTCCTCAAAGACAAAATGTTAGAAATTAAGGCTGGAGAGAGGAAAATATATGGTAGCAGTATCAATGCCCAGTCTTGAAGAAAAATATATTGACTACATGACAGATGGAAAATAAAACATGTTTGACATTCACTGGAGAAGCAAGAACAAGGTATTTTCTAGTAGTCAAAATGTCTGGAGAACGGCCTAGACTGTTTCAAATGAAAGAATCAAGCAGATGTCAGACACAAAAGACAAGAAAGTTGCAGGAATCTAAGCAGCAGACATAAGAGCAATAACTGTAGTGATGGTGAGAAGATGCAGTAGTACAGACAGCCATTCTTTTTCCACCTATAAGATATATTCTTTGTGCGCACATTTAAAACAAGCTTTACAGATTGTTTACCATTTCATAACCACTTTTACTTTTGAGCCTCTTTTATCTGTATTTTTAAAAATAGATTAAAAGCTGTTTACTACTCCAACGTCTAAAGAGGGGAGGATGAGGATGAGCAGCCAACACTAAAGATGATGCTTCACTTAAGATATTTTTGGCAGTCAATTGAGTTCTGAGTCAGACATTGGTAAGATGTGCTATCAAACTGTTGGAAGTTAAAACCCACCCCTCTCCTAGGAAAATGAAATATTTAGGATATACTAAAAAGACAGAATATTTCCCCTAAGAAGAGAAGTAGAAACTCAGAGGCAGAAACTCACACACCCCCAACCTTTGCTAATGGGCCATTACTCTGGCCTGGGCCAGTCTATTTTACATAACAAAGATCTACTCCAGCTAGAGCTATAATAGGAATTGCCCAAAGCCCTTTCATTACATCATCATCCAGCAAGGCTCAACCAAGCCTGGGACTCAGGGCAGCCTACAGAGTTGCCCTTGGCGGGCCCCATGGGAGTCTGACAACCAATCAGAATACAAACTCAAATTCAGATCTCAACAGGGGGCGTAAAACCCAGGGGCTCTCAGCATCCCTTTCTCCTTTTCCTTCACCCAACATCTTGAAGCATGTGACCATCTTTTTCACCTTGGAGCTCCAAGCCATGTCCACCATTAAACCATCTTTCCAAACAGCCTCCATGTTTCCAGTGTCTTTTTCCCCACTTAGAACTGAACCCAGAAGGATATTTCTTCCAACAAGACCATCTCTAGATGTTGTGCTATTTACACATCTTGTCCTTTGAAAATTAGGGGAAACGGAACTTTTTGAACCTTGCCATCAGCTAGCCAGTTCCAGGTGTCTGTCCACTGTCGCTCTGGGAGTTTCTGATAGACTGAAAGCAATTCAGTTTGGAATGTTTTCTTTTTCCTCAGTAACTTTCTTCAAATCCCTTAGTGGCTACAAGCTGGATACCAATACCAGCCTAAGAAAGATGCCTACAAGACTAGCGCATTTTGAGAATGGTCTAGTAGTGATTAAGGCATCAGGGTAGAAACCAGGAAACTATACAAGTTCAAGTTCTAATCCGGCTTAGGCAAGACTTTGTTATCAGCCCTAGGAAGAAGCCAATGACAAACTACTTCCAAAAGTGTTGTGAAGAAAACTTAAGGGACTAATTTAAGCAGTCTCCAGGAGTCAAGTTGACCTCAGAGGCACACTCACACAAATATAGCACGAGAGACAATTAATAAAGCTACTTGGAACTCTAGAGATCCTTGTAGCTCAGAAAAAATGAAAACTATAAAATATTCATCTTTAAAATGACTCACATGGTGTAGTGATTTTGATACACTTGGGTATGTCAAGTGTGAATAATCCTGCTTCCATTACTTCAGACATACCCAGATGTTACATGAGGCTGCAGGCACAATGGTTGGAGTATATGGCAAAAAATACCCAACCCTTTCCCCTCTCAGAAGTTCTCTAAGGTTCTCACAGCTGAATGAAGCGCAGATGGGATTTGTTTCCTGCAATGCCATTCAGTTTCTCTGGAGACACCTACCACACCCCCCTGGCTCTCAGCTCATGTTTCATTCAACATGGGGAAAAAATTCTGCTATGTATGTCTTTGGAAAAGAGGGCGGTCACTTTTTCAGCTTATTTTATGAAGGGTCAAGAGGAACAGCTAGCTTAATAATGGCACTGAAATTTCTGGTGGAGGAAGGAATAAAAAACGAATGGTTGAATGTATATTCTCATGCCTTAGGCAGTGGCTAGTCAAATTAAATACTAATTACAAGAGGTGTGAATTCCAGTTCCAATTTGCACCCTCCCTCATAATAATGGGAGCAACATGAGTACTTTCTGACTCACTGCTGGTTTGAAAGAGGTGCATTTGTTGGGTAGAGGTTTGGGTAGAGATTCTTTACAGTTCATTGATACAAGTTCATCGTCTGTGAACTGTCCTTAAATATCACATTTCGGTTCTTACTATGTTACAGAGCCCCTGATTATGACATCGAACATGCAAACAAGCTAAATACACTACTAACATGGGCAGCATCCTGCCCACATGCTTTTATCTTTCTTGGTGACTTCAATCTACCTCATATTAACTGGACCCTTAACGAATGTACAACTGAACCCACACATGCAACCTTCTACAATGCAATAACAAATCTGGGACCAGAACAACTAGTAACCAACAACACTAGACTTAACAATTGCCTCGATCTCATCTTCTGCAATAGTTTGAATTCAATTTATGGAATACAAATTAAAGAACTCTTTTCCAACAGTGACCACAACATGATTCACTTTTGTCTCAACATATATCCACACAAAAATCATCACAATGACGTAATCCGCAATTATAACTTCAAAAATGGCAACTATGATCTTAAAAACAATGATCTCTTATCCCTTGATTGGCCATCTCTACTCTCTGGATGAAATACTGTAGAAGACCATTACAGCATATTTTTACTTGAAGTCAAAAGAGTCATATGTATCATTAACAACTCCCAAAATCAGAAAAAACAAATTATCCAAAACAATAAAGAAGCTTCAATCCCAAAAGAAATCACTTTGGCGGAAAAACAAATCTGGTCACGTTGTCAACTTCAAAAGCCAATACAAAAAGTTATGCCACCAGATAAAAACTGAATGCACCAATTATCACATTAAACAAGAAGAAAACCTTCTATGCACCAATTCCACCTGCGCTTTCTACAACTTTGTAAACAACAAACTAAAAGACTCAAGGTCCATCCCACCCCTAAAGGACCTAATGGTAAAGACTGCAATGATGACACTATTAAAGCCAACCTCTTTAACACATTCTTTGGCTTAGTATTTGTAAACAGCAATGGAACATGCCCTGTATTTCCTAGTCAAACCACAGACAACTACAATGATCTAATACATATCGATTTTACAGAAGACAATGTTGAAAAAGCACTACGCAATCTAAAACCATCTCTATCTATTGGACCAGACGGAATATATGCCTACTTCTTTAAAAAGCTACCCACTGCCATAGCCGAACCTCTAAGCATAATCTTTGAAAAATCTTTCAGGACCAGCTCCTTGCCAAAACTATGGTCACAAGCTACGGTCATCCCCATCTTCAAAAAGGGAGACCCCAGCCGAGTTGAAAATTACAGACCAATGCTGCGTCACCTGTAAAGTCATGGAATCAATTATTAACCAATCTATCATCCTCCACTCAGAAATAAACAACTTACTCTCTTATAAACAATTTGGTTTTAGGAAAAAACTATCAGGTAATCTGCAACACTTACACTGCAAAAACATATGGACTACACAACTAGATCAGGGCAAAGCAATAGGTGCAATCTACATAAACTTCTGTAAAGCCTTTGATTCAGTGGTACATGACAAACTACTCCTAAAACTAAAATCTTACGGTATCTCTGGACACCTGCATAACTGGATAGAAGCATTCCTGTCAAACAGATAACAAATGGTCAAAATTGGGAGCGTCCTATCAAATTCTGTACCTGTCAACAATGGTGTCCTCCAAGGCAGTATTCTAGGACCAACTCTTTTCATACTCTACATAAATGACCTCTGTGATCATATCAAGAGCAACTGCGTTCTCTTAGCTGATGATGTAAAGCTGTTCAACACCACAGACAATACTGCTACCCTTCAAAAAGACCTTGACTATGTATCAGAATGGTCAAACAAATGGCAACTTCAAATCTCAATAAATAAATGCTCTGTCTTACATATTGGCAAAAAAAATCAGAAAATAAAATGCAGGCTGAATAGTCAAGACCTTGTTGATGATCCAAACTCTGTCAAGGATCTTGGAGTACTCATCTCAAATGACCGAAGTGCTTGAGCCCACTTTAACTACATAGCCAAAAAGGCGTTAAGAGTTGTTAACTCAATCTTACGAAGCTTTTTCTCTGGTAATATTACACTATTAACTGGAGCATACAAAACATTTGCTTGACCAATACTCGAATACAGCTTCATTAGTCTGGAACTCACATTACATATCTGATATTAACACAGTTGAGAAAGTCCAGAAATATTTCACAAGAAGAGTTCTCCACTCCTCTACTCATTGCAGAAAAGCTTATGCCACCAGACTCGAAATTCTAGACCTAGAAAACTAGAACTACGCCACCTTCGGTCCGATCTAAGTATAGTATATAAAATCATACATTGCAATGTCCTACCTGTCAATGTATACTTCAGCTTCAACCATAACAACACAAGAGCAAATAATAGATACAAACTCAAGGTTAATCACACCAAACTTGATTGCAGGAAATATGACTTCAGCAACAGAATGGTCAATGTCTGGAATACTCTACCTGATTCTGTGGTTTTTTTCCCCAAACCCCAAAAAGTTTAACCTTAGACTGTCTACTATTGACCTCACCCCTTTCCTAAGAGGTCTGTAGGGGGCATGAATAAGTGCACCAATGTGCCTACCGTCCCTGTCCTATTGTTTCTTTTATATATTTTTTATTTTTCTTATATGTATCCATGTATTCATAACTATGTTTTTACTTATACCTATTATCTTGTAAGCAATTGACAAACAAACAAACAAATAAATAAATAAAGTTAGTTACACTAGTTCCTTGCCTGTTGCTTCACTTCTTTTCACTGCAAGACAGTAAGCAAGCAGAAGAACTGGGAGTTTGGTTTAGAGTAGGGATGTCCAATCTTGGCAATTTTACTCCCAGAATTACCCAGTCAAAGTTGTAAAGGTTGGACACTCCTGGTTTAGAGTATATTGGGAATGAGTTGAAAATCAAAATTTGAATTACAGTTTTATGCGGTACAATTCGCTACTGCATAAAAATCTGAACTATTGACCTAGGTTAAAGTTAGGCTCCGTGTAGTCCTGCTAAGGCATAAACCTCAATCAAACAGAAGAACTTAGTTCTGTGCAACCATGCATGGGATTTAAGTGGGACTAGGCAGCTTTTCATGGCATTATGAAGATCTGTTCATTTGGCCAAATTTACTCTTAAATTACTCCCAGATGGAAAGGAAGACTCAGAGGTTTTTTTAGAGAAGCTTTTTAGACAGCTGGACTGACTTTCCCTAGACTGCCATATAGCAAGCTGAATTGTTCCAGAAGGAATCTGTCAGGAATTTACAATGATAGATTTACACGTTCTCCATTTGGCAATATTTGTTTATCAAACAACTGGGCATATACTTCTTTCTAAACATATATTTACCATCTCATTGATGCAGCAATAGCTATTTTTCAGTATCCAGTGTTATAACTACTGCCGCCGCCACCAGCTTCAGCAAATTACAGACCAAGTCAGATGACTAACAAATGAGGTTACATATTTGCAAATATTTCCTAAATAGAAACTGGAGGTAAAAACTTCCAGTTTCTAATTTTGAGCTCATCTCCTAACATTCCAGCAAAATGTTTTTGTGGCTGTTGTAGCTATCTTGTGAACTTGTGAAGTTCTGTTGTGACACCATTTTGTGACAATATCTGTGACTCCTTCCACCCCCCAAAAAATCCTTATTTGCGGTATTCCTGATAAACCATTATTTGGATGAGCCTTAAGCACCCATCCCCATGCCTGGTTCTTAAACATTCATTTTTGTTTTCATCCAACTGTGTTTTATTCTTTTGTGTAAATCCACAACTGTGATTAATCTTAATTATAGTTTAGGTAGGATAAGCACTCCCAATGCTTTTGATCTCCACTCACAGCAGCATGGCCCATGGCATTCTAAAGAGGCCAATAGGAGCAGAGCAGACCTTAGTTTTTGTCTAGATCAGGGGTGTCAAACTCAAAGCCTGTGGGCCAGATCCCGCAAGGCCACCCTGGAAACAGTGAAGGACCAGCCTGCGACACCTCTGCCAGCAAAAACGGGCTCCCGATCTCTGTTTTCGGCTGGGACAGCCTCCTGCAACCCTCAGCCAGTGAATATGGCTTGAGAGGGCCATGCGTTTTTGCTGGCAGAGAGTTGCAGGAGGCCATCCCAGCCGAAAACAGATCGGGAGCCCATTTTTTCTGGCAGAGCTCTCAGGCTACCGCAGGCGCCCCTGACACAAGTGACATCAAGCTGGCCATGCCCACCCTGGGCCCCCTTAGCCCCCTCCGAGGTCAAACACAACTCTGATGCGGCCCTCAATGAAATTGATTTTGACATCCCTGGTCTATATCATCAGCCATCTTGTTGGTGAAATGTGTTACAGTGGTCCAAAGAAAAATATTTTTGTTAAGTTTGAGCAATGAGAGGCTGAACCAGAGCATGAGTGCAACAATACTTTATTAAATAATAAAGGGCTGACCGTGCTTGCCAAGCCTGGAACTGGCTCGCAGCAATCAGCGACTGGTTGGACCCCGCAGCCTGCTTTTATAGCTGGCTGCTGGGGAGAACCAACCAATGAGGAAAGGGGGAAGAACGCCCACTCAAA